TATCGTGTTTGAGGATGAAGGACCTGGGGTATTTATACTCCAGTTCCTATGGGTCATAAAGCATCAATTCCTTGACATTTTCAGTCTGCCCTGAGCACTGACAAAGTAGGTTTCAGGCATGAGCAAAAAAAATTCTGAGCACTGACGAGATGCTGGCAGTGTAGTGTCTGGCTGGCGTATGCTGCAGCCACGAGGCAGAGGGAATGCGGGAAGGATCTGTCACACAAGTCCTCCTCAGGAAGTCTTCAAAAGATTAGGCCAGGAGACAGAGTTTTTAGGCAAACATGTTGTTTCTCCCCAAAGATATGTTTCTCCCATTTTCTCCAAGCAGATCCAAAATCCTGGAGTTCCATTACTAGGAACAGGCAAAGGTACAAAAGTAGAAGCAGGTATTAGTTTGCTAGGGCTGCCTAGAACAAAGTGTCACAGACTGGGTAGCATGCACAACAGAAATTCTGTTGTTAAAAATAATTTTTAAAATTTATTTTGACTGTGCTGGGTCTTTGTTGCTGCACAGTCTTTTCTTTAGTTGTGGCAAGTGGCAGTTACTCTCTGGTTGTAGTGCACAAGCTTCTCATGTGGTGGCTTCTCTTGTTGCAGAGCATGGGTTCTAGGGCACACAGCCTACAACTGTTTCAGCCCACGGGTTCTAGAGCACAGACTCAACAGTTGCGGTACATGGGGTAGTTGCTTCTCAGTATGTGGAATCTTCTCAGATCAGGGATCGAACCTGTATCTTCTGCATTAGCAGGCAGGTTCTGTACTACTGAGCTACCAGGAAAGCCCCCAGAAATTCATTTTTTGACAGTTTTGAAGGCTGGAAGTCCAAGATTAAGGTGTCAGCAGGCCAGGTTTCTCCTGAAGACTCTCTCCTTGGCTTGTAGATGGTGATCTCCATCCTGCATCTTCAGATGGCACCTTCCCTGTACATGTCTAACCCTGTGTACCTTTATGCCTCCAAACTTCCTCTTCTTATAAGAACCACAGTCAGAATGAATTAGGGCCCACTCATATGACCTCATTCAATGTTAATTACCTTTTTAAAGTACCTATCTTCAAAGAGAAGCACATCCTGAAGTGCTGGGGTTAGGGCCTCAACATGCGAAGTTGGAGGAGGGCATACAATTCAGCCTATGACAGAGAGAAATGAGCATATTCTTCACTTAGATTTGTAAAATTTCTGTTAAGAACGAAAGCAGTGTTTTTACCAGGCTCAAGCAAACAATTACAGGCAAAAAACAAATAGGTGGAACTTTAACTGCTGTCTTTATTTGGAAGAGACCTTTCATGAGTTCCTTGGTATCTCAGTTCAAGATGTGGGATCACCTGCAATAAGATCAGCCTTGCCTTTCAGTAAATCCTAGCTCTATTGTATTAAAACATTAAATGCAGAAATGGTAAGGACCTAACAGAAGCAGAAGAGATTAAGAAGAGGTGGCAAGAATACACAGAAGACCTATACAAAAAAGGTCTTCATGATCCAGATAATCACGACGGTGTGATCACACACCTAGAGCCAGACATCATGGAATTCTAAGTTAAGTGGGCCTTAGGAATCATCACTACAAACAAAGCTAGTGGAGGTGATGGAATTCCAGCTGAGTTATTTAAATCTTAAAAGATGATGCTGTTAAAGTGCTGCAAAGCCAGCAAATTTGGAAAACTCAGCAGTGGCTACAGGACTGGAAAAGGTCAGTTTTCATTCCAATCCCAAAGAAGGGCAATGCCAAAGAGTGTTCAAACTACCGCACAATTGTGCTCATTTCATGTGCTAGCAAGGTAATGTTCAAAATGTTCAAAATCCTTCAAGCTAGGCTTCAACAGTATGTGAACCAAGAACTTCCAGATGTACAAGCTGGACTCAGAAAAAGCAGAAGAACCAGAGATCAAATGGCCAACATCTGTTGGATCATAGAAAAAGCAAGACAATTCCAGAAAAAATATTTACTTTTTCCATGTTATAAACCCTTTGACTGTGTGGATCTCAACAAACTGTGGAACATTCTTAAAGAGATGGCAATGCCAGACCACCTTCCTTGCCTCCCAAGAAACCTGTATGCAGGTCAAGAAGCAACAGTTAGACCTCAACATGGAACAACAGACTGGTTCAAATTTGGGAAAGGAGTATATCAAAGCTGTATATTGTCACCCAGCTTATTTAACTTATATGCAGAGTACATCATGTGAAATGCTGGGCTGGATGATGCATGAGATGTAATCAAGATTGCTTGGAGAAATATCAATAACCTCAGATATGCAGATGATACCACCCTTATGGCAGAATTCAGGGCAAGGACAAGTGAGGGAGGCAGCAAAGTGAAAGGGAGAGGGCTGGTGGTCCAGGAACCCACCAGGCCATGGACTTCATGTGATTAATGGGTCCTCTTGATCAGCAACCCCCTATCAGTGGACCATGTGGAGATGGATGGAAGGAGTCAGCCCTCTCTGACCCTCCTCATTCTGTGTCAGCAGGCTTAGAGGATGCTTAGGCACGCAGGGCTGAGGTCCAGACCAGGACTGTGAACTTGGAGACCATTGTGTCAGGCTCTCGGCCTTTGTGTTTCTGTGTTTCTGCAACCACACATGAGGAACTGGGAGTCCTGGGGGATGAAGTTTGGCTGTCTGTCCTTTGGAAAGCCTTATGTGGGTATTGTCTTAAATGGTGTCAAGACCCTGGAAACGTGGTGGTGGCCCATGCTATGTGGCCACTGCCACTGTGCCCTGGCCATCCACATCGCACACTGGGACTCTGAGGACTCGGTCTGGTGGGAGATGCTGGAGCAGAGGCTGGGGATGAGCCCCGCCCAGACCCAGGCCTTGCTGCAGGACGGGGACAAGTTTGGCTGTGGAGTGATCATAGGCAAGTGACACCCTGCCCAGCACTGCCTATATGGCCGTGGTGCTGCCCTAGATCCCAGCTGGGTTGTGCTTGTTTGTTTTCTATTGAACCAGTTGGTGGGGTAGGTGGGGCTGAGGTTTTCTTCAGAGGAGTGGTGAGGGTCCTTTGGCTGGGAGATGATGGCCCAAAGTACCTACCGCCTCTCTGGGCCTCAGTCCCTGTTCGTGCTCTGAGGCAGAGGCACAAACAGCTCTGCATGTGGCACTTGTCTCTGTGTGTGTCCCCACACGTGTCAGTGTGCCTGGCAGAGACCATGAGAGGCAGGAAAGCACCTAGCCTGGGTTCCAAACCCCCACTGCCTGCAGCAAGTCCCCTGACTCCCCGGGGTGAGGTCACACAGCAACACCTGTCTGCTGGTAAATCCCTTAGGGACCTGATGTCTGTGGGCCCCCGCTGGGGCCCTCCTGCTCTGTCCTCGTGGCCTGTAGTAGGCAGACTGAGAGCTGCCTATGGCCTGGTGGGTTCGTGGAGCACCAGTCCTCTCCCTTTCATTTCTCACCCTCCCTCACTTGGCCTCACCCCGAGTTCTCTTTGCTGAGGTGAGCCCCTCCAAAATGCTCAGCCAGAGGACCCAGTTCACCTTGGGTTGCCTCCATGATACGGTGTTAGTCTCAAGCAGGTGCAACTTTGAATGACCTTGTTCTCATTCTGTGTCCTGTCTTTGCACATATCTCGTGGTCATCGGGGGCACTTTTCTGTGTCCCAAAAACCTAGATCCTGACCAGGCGGAGGAGCTGGAGAATCAAGACTTGCTACCCGACCAGCAAGAAAAGTAACATGACTGCTCGCCAACCCCACTGGCTGTTGCAGCCCATCCCAGGGGGCAGGGGTAGGGGGAAAGACACCTTCCCGGTGGACATCTCTGAGCACCTGATCCTCTTTGGGCAGGAGGCCTGTCCAGACTGGACTCTCAAGAGGAAAGTGACCAAGAGACCAGCACATGCTGATACCATGCAGTTACTGCCGCGCTCTGGACTTGCCCATCTGATTCTATCTGAATCAGCCCCACGCTCTGGTGCCCACTTGGTGCGGGGCCAAGGGCAGGGACTCCCCTCACAGGATGCTACTCTGGACTCAGCAAAAGACTCCGGGACTTTGACCTTTACGAAATGATGGTGTTGCCACTCGTTTTGGCCGTGCTGGGTCTGTGTGGTTGAGAGAAATGTGTTGTTAGGAAACCGGTTAATGTCTTTCCCTCTCTGTTCTGGTCCAATCTCCCTGATGTTGGAACAGTGTCCTGGGGGTGACAGGGTAAGGCTGGGGGCAGGGCTGTGCATTGGCAGGCAGAGAGGCCCGCAGGCCCAGAAACAGGCCACGATTTATCCTTGCACACGACCCTTGTCCTATTGTAAAGTGTCCCTTGGCTGTCAAAGTGTGTGTGTTGGACGCAGTGCCTGGCCGCCTCACGTCCAAAGACAGGCTCCTAAGTAGAGCTGTGAGGGCAGAATGACAAGGGCTGGTGTTCACCTTGTCGAAACCTTGTACTTGTCTGTGGCTTTGGGGTAATGTGTTTGCAAGGTGCTTGATGGTTGGAGTGACCCTGCTTTCCAGTCAGCCTCTTGATAGGAGGGGGCCTGGATCAGGAGCTGGGATGCTCAGCTGCTGATCAGAAACTTGTGGCATTATCAGGATACCCAGGAGGAGCCCCTTCTGCTGCAGGGTGCATGACTCATGGAAGGTGACACCCCCAAGGTCAGGAGCCCAGCTGGGCCATCTGCTGAGTGACAGGAAAGGCCCAGGGACCAGTCCACTCTGGGTTCACCGCAATGCTCAGCTCATGGGTCAGACCCTTGGATGAGCCTGTGAAATGCTGCTGTTTCAGATGAAAAGAGACCATGGGGACTGAATTGAAGCCTGTCTGGTGCATGGGCTTCCAGCCTCATCTGGCTCACCCTGTGCCATGTGTGAATACAAAGGGCAGATAGAAAGAACACAGGTTTGCAGTTCTCACTTGATTGTTTATTTACTCCAGTGGGGTTTTGCTTTACTTTATTAGAGCCAAAATTCTATTTTTGATTACAAGAGAGTGATTTTGAGTGTTCCTAGGGATCTGGCAGCTCAGGGATTCGGCTTGTTCTTGACCTGCTCACAGAGGGCGCACTTATAATCTGAGAATCTCCCTGCTCCTCCTCTGACTCAGGGGCCTCATCTGGGGCCATGACTAAAAGGCCCGCCATCAGGATGGAGTAACAAGTGTTGTACAAAGTCATCAGCGATTCGTAGTCTGGGTACACTGGGGGGCTCTCAGGCAGTTCCCCTGGGCTGTCCCTTCCATTAGTAGCTGGGAGCACAGATGTGGCACTGTTGGATGGGCCTTCTCCACTGGGGCCACCCTGCTCACTGGGGAGATGGTTTCCCCCAGCCTGGCTGGCTACACTACCCATAGACCAAAGGTCAGAAAACACAAATAAGCACTGGCTGGGGTTTCTGCAAGCAGTGGGCATTGCCTTCTGGACTTTGTTGCCAGTCTCTTGGGTGAACTCGTTGTGGTGGAGTCGGGGAGAGTGTCTGGTCGCCATCACTCGCTTCTTTCTCTTTGGGGTCGCTGTTGTTCCAGTGGCAGGCTGAGACGTTGTTCTGGGGTTGCCTTTCCTCTGTATGTTCTGCAGGAGGAGAGGCTTGTCTCTCTGAAAATTGGAGTTGCGATAGATCTGAAAGGAAATGAATCACTTTAGCCATGAGAGGGGAGAAGAGCCCTTCTTTGCCGCACTCTCCCCACAGCCATTGGGTCGTGCCTATGTATGGAGACCAGGTCTCTTCATTCCTGGCAGGTTATGAGGCCCTGGAATGTCACTCCCTAGAGCTCCCCCGGGGCCATCCTTGCTTGAGGTGTTCCTGACACTCCCTGACATCAAGTGGCCCCTCAGGATCTGGCGTCACCACCAAAGATCCTAAGGGGGGGGGGGGGTGATGGCGGGACACGACAGACTCTGCGTTCTCCTCTTTCCTTAACCACTCTCTCCTGAGAACAACATTCTCCTGGGGAATGAAACCCATCAGCACTCAGCTCATCTAGTCTAGTCTCCCCAGAAGGGCATTCTACATTACCATCATCTTCTTTCTTCCTGCAGAGCGACCTGAAGGGCGGATTTTTCTGAACCCATACAGGTTCAGTTCACGAATGAAGCTCTTTATGCTGTCTGTCTCGCAGATCTGATCCACGCCTCTGCGCTGGAGGACCTCCATCTGGAAGAGATCTGCCTCGATGACCACCGTGTCTCCCTTATCATTCCAGTGCACAGAGGTGAAGGTCGCATCCTCCACGATCCTCCAGAGCTTCCTGGGGAAGGACAGCCCAAAGCTGGTGTTGTTCTCATCCTCGTTGGCCATTTCTGGGTTCGGGCCCTGTGGGGGCACATTGTCGTGGAGGCCTGAATCTGGGCTCTCAGGTTGGTCACCCCGCTTCTCCAAAGCCTCCCCTGAATCCACATTTGGATCTGGGGAGGAATCACGGGGGTCCCCTGCTGAGGGCTCCCCATCAGTTGATGGGGCCAGCAGCGCTGCCTGTGGCTCATGGAAACTCTGATTAGCCATTGAACCAATCGAGCTCGGGAGCATTATCTACACAAGCAGTGAATGCTCAGGGCAAACAGGCCTCAGACCAGGGTCGGGGTGCCCCATAAATACTGTCTGGAGATTCTAGAATCTGAGTCATGGGGCAGGCAGCCAATTAGGGGGTCAGCTTCCTTATTGTTTCATGATGTCACAGAGGTGATGTGGAGAGGCAGCCCTGGCCCAGTGTGGGGGAGGGGGGAATGGGGATGGAGATGGGATCCCCAGCTTGTCTCTTGTCTGAAAGTACAGAAAAGTTTGTTTCTGGTTGCCTGCAAAGGCTCCCATCTGCTGCCAGGTGCCTTGTTTCAGGGGGCCAGGCCCTGGATGGGTTGACAAATGTGCCCCTGGCTCCACTGCCCTAACAATGTGCAGACCTGTGGCTGGCTTCTGCTGAAGGGCCAGGCCATGGCAAGTCCTGGGTCTACGAACACCAAGGGAGAACCAAGGGGTCAGAGGGGACCTTGGTGACTGTCCCTCCCAGAGGATGGGATCCATAGTGGGCTGATTGGCCTTGCCTAAGTTAGTGACCCCTCCATCCTTCCCCCTCTTCTGGCTTTATTGTCTTCCAGCTGGCTGCTGCTGGTTGGTCAGTCCCGCTCAGTTGGCCCCAAAGTCAGAGTCCTGTTGTCCTGCCCCCACCGACCCCCAGGTCGAGCTCTCCCCAGAGTAGGGCTGTGCTCAAGCACAGTGGAGCGACCTCATATTCCACTTGACTGTTCCCAAACACTTGAGACACAGACTTCCCAGGAGACTGTGTGGGAGGGCAAAGCCAGGTGCTCAACTGAGCTTACAGTCTCCTGAGGTCTGCCCACCCCCAGATAGCATCCCACTGCAGATCACACGCTGTTGCCTTCAGTGTCCGATTTTTCCCATAAACACCACTCTGGTGGCCCTAGAGTGTCCACTTTGGGAACACATGCTTGTGCTTTTCCCCTCCCGGGAGCCTCGGATTCAGACTCCTTGGAGGCTGCTTTGAAAGCCCTGTTTCCTTTTGTCAGTGGGGTGCGTGGGCTTCTGCTACCTGCAGTCCTGGCTGACCACGCCCAACTTGAGTCTATTTGGATAACTAACCTTTGAAGTACATGACTGGGGGCTCAAGGTATAGCCTGTTCTGTTGAAAACAAGCACTTCACTGGTCCTCTTCGAGGCCAGCTCTGATCTTCCCCGCCCCTGCGCCTGTCCTAACCTCCACTGTGGACCTGTTCTCTGTTACCCAGACAGCAGGTCCATGAAGTGATTTTGTTGGCTTATGGGTTAGGCGCTTTTCAAGGGCCCTGCTTTACACACAGTCACTCCCAAGGACATGTCTGACTTGTTGAGCTAGATGTGACCAAAGAAAGCCCTCATCTAACTGTATTTGAAAAAGGATGAGAGCCTGGGTGTGGGACTGGATGAAACCCAATTGAGAATCACTGGTCTTCACCACACATAAACAGTAGAGCAGTGGGTTTGGAGATGCGTGTTCTCTGGGATTTCTGGGCCACTGTTCTTGAAAATCACCATGTAGGAAACAGACTGGCACCTTGGAAAGGCCCGTATTCAAGGACCCTAGGACACTGTCTCCCAGTTCTGCCAGTAGCAGGGTCATTTTCCCTGTGTGAGGGCCAGTCCCTGGTGTCTTAAAGGGGAGAGCTAAGAGGGTGTGGAAGAAGCTCTCCCAGGGGCCTTTCTGCCTAAGGACTGGCAGCCTGGATGAGCCCCAGGCTTCAACTTGGGCTTCCCCTGGCCTTTCTTCAGTTCGTCTGACTGGGACATGACTCTGGAGGCTGTGAACGTCGGTGGGGGCCCCTGGTGACTCCTCCAAAGGGATCAGAAGGTCATGGCATCTGCGGGCAGCCTGGGTAGGTGGCCTTTCTTGCCCCCTCCATGCTTGGGGTACCTCCTTGCCCCCTGGGTCTTGGCTTTTTTGGTCCCACTCCTCCAGACACCACCCGGGCCCTGGCAGTGGGTTTTTGTGGCACCAGCCATGGCTCAGACACTTGTGTAGTGCACACACAAGCCCTCATGATGCCCAGTTCAGTTCAGTTCAGTCGCTCAGTCGTGTCTGACTCTTTGCGACCCCATGAATCATAGCACACCAGGCCTCCCTGTCCATCACAAACTCCCGGAGTTTACTCAAACTCATGCCCATCGAGTCGGTGATGCCATCCAGCCATCTCATCCTTTGCCGTCCCCTTCTCCTCCTGCCCCCAATCCCTCCCAGCGTCAGGGTCTTTTCCAACGAGTCAACTCTTCGCATGAGGTGGCCAAAGTACTGGAGTTTCAGCTTCAGCATCAGTCCTTCCAATGAACACCCAGGAATTATCTCCTTCAGAATGGACTGGTTGGATCTCCTTGCAGTCCAAGGGACTCTCAAGCGTCTTCTCCAAAACCATGATGTCCAAGACCTGCCTTTCTCGGACTCACTCTCCTGCCCATGTGCTGGGTGTCCCTGCCCTGGTTTCCCCAGACCAGAGGCCCTCCAGCTGCTCCCCTCCCTCGCTGCTGTTGGGAATACCTGGAGCCTCAGGGGTCTGCCTCTGTTCCCTTCCCTCCCATATGAGAGGAGGCTCCTGTACGGGCCTTATCCCAGTGGCCACTGGGACCATACAGTCAGGTCCTCCATCCTCCCACTCAGTGAGGAGCTGGTCAGCCTGGCAGGTTCAGTTGGGCAGGAGGCCCCATGGCAGCAGCAGGGACAGGGCATCACCCTCATGTGGGAGACGCTGGGACTGGATAGAGATGCCGGCCCCTGGCAGAGTCAGTTCTCAGCAAATCACAGAGCAACCCCACAGTGCTTCTGATTCTCCTTGTTCCCTTTCTTACAACAGGCCTCCTTTCTGTCACCTCAGAGACATCATGTAGCACTGAGAAGAGGAAGGTGTGAGAAGGCAGAAAGTCGGGCCATGGCCTGGGGTGGGCAGGAAGGGTGGGGGCTCCAGAGGAATTGAGACCAGGGCTCTGAGCCAACCCTGGCCCTCACTAGCATGTGGTCTTGGGAAGAAGCCCAAGCCCCATGGCCTCAGTTCTTCATCTGGGAGGCGAGTGGGTGTGAGGAGCCCTCTGTGTTGGGCTGCAGGATGCGCGTGAGGGATGAGACAGAGCTCACAGGGCTGGGGAGCTATTGGTCCTGTGATGACAGGACAGGAATTTCTCACACTCTTGTCCCCAGACATTCCTCCGCTCTCCACTGGATGGGCTTGGCTGTTTTGTTGTCCAGGGTGGGTCAGAGAATATTTACCTCAATAGGATGTGGAATTCCTAATTAACCAAACAAGATGTTTCATAAATAAAACTAAGAAACTTTTCTAGTTTAGGCCACAGTGAACCATAGTGTTACTCGCTCAGTTATGTCTGACTCTGCAACTCCATTGACTGTAGCTTGCCAGGCTCCTCTGTCCATGGAATTCTCCAGGCAAGAATACTCGAGTGTGTTGCCATACTCTTCTCCAGTGGGATCTTCCTGACCCAGGGATTGAACCCAGGTCTCCCACAATGCAAGCAAATTCTTCATTGTATGGGCTACCTGGACAGGCCCATTTCCAGTTAGAGGACCTGTGAAGTTTCGGTGTGGAGCAGTGTTCCAGCTGGCCTTCCCTTCAAACTCCTTTTTTTTTTTTTTTCATTACTGCATCACCAATAAATGTTGAGTCTTTGATTACAATGTCCTTTACAATGAAGATAATTAAAAGCTAGTTAACACCTTGAGTTCTGGGTCCCTGGGACCAGGAAAGAGAGGATGGATTTCTGGGCATCACTTCAAGGGAGTGTGACAGCAGTTCTGCAGGATTTCTAGCAGATATGGGGTAGAAAACACCTACTCTGTCCCTGTTGTCAGCAGCAATGTGACAAGATCCAGGACCCCTTCCATCCTGTAGCAGAAAGAGACCTATCTGGGGTTTATCCAAGATCCAAAAGGACACCTAATAGCAATGTCCCATTTCCCCTCACTCCCATGATGCACCTCATGTGACTGTGGCTCCTAGACCATCGCTCTAGGTGTGGGGGTGTCCTGCTTCTCCCAGTGTCTCCACTGCTAACACAGGGCATTTCATGGAGCAGAGGCTCCATAAAAGTCTTTGGAATAAATGAGCCAGTGAGGAAGGGGCTGCTTGATGCAGATTAACTGCTACTTCCATTGATAACCCAGGAAAATCCAAATAAACCAAGATCCCTTAGCTGTACAAAATGACACATAAAAAGTATAAGAAGCAATAATTCACTACTATTACTTTTTATTTTCTAATTCTTCCATGAGTTATATCACTGTTAAATAAATTCACATTTCCAAAATTGCTCTAATTCTAATTCCATATTATCTTGTGCAGGACCATGAAATAAAATGAAAGCGTGTTCCCAGTCTGTTTACCAAACAGGAAAACTTTTTTTTTTAAATTTGATTATTTATTTTGCTTTACAATATTGTATTGGTTTTGCCATAGATTGACTTGAATCTGCCATGGATGTATATGTGTCCCCCATCCTGAACACCCTCCCACCTCCCTCCCCATCCCATCCCTCTGGGTCATCCCAGTGCACCAGCCTCTGTCTGGGCACTGCCCTCTGTCCACCTGATTTTGCTTCCCTTAGAGACCCAGGCCC